TTTTTGGAGACGGAGTTTCACTCATGTTACCCAGGCTGGAGTGCAATGGCACAATCTCGGCTCACCGCAACCTCCGCCTCCTGGGTTCAGGCAATTCTCCTGCCTCAGCCTCCTGAGTAGCTGGGATTACAGGCACGCACCACCATGCCCAGCTAATTTTTTGTACTTTTAGTAGAGACGGGGTTTCACCATGTTGACCAGGATGGTCTCGATCTCTTGACCTCGTGATCCACCCGCCTCGGCCTCCCAAAGTGCTGGGATTACAGGCTTGAGCCACCGCGCCCGGCCTGTAATATCTTTTATTTGTTTGTTTGAGACAGAGTCTCACTCTGTCACCCAGGTTACAGTGCAGTGGTGCAATCTTGGCTCATTACAACCTCTGCCTCCCAGGTTCAAGTGATTCTCCTGCCTCAGCCTCCCAAGTAGCAGGGACCACAGATGTGCACCACCATGCCCAGCTAATTTTTGTATTTTTAGTAGAGACGGGGTTTCACCGTGTTGGCCAGGCTGCTCTTGAACTCCTGGGCTCAAGTGATCCACCTGCCTCGGCCTCCCAAAGTGCTGGGATTACCAGGTGTGAGCCACCGTGCCCAGACTGTAATATCTTTTATGGTAAACCAGAAAAACGTGTTTCCCTGAGTTCTGTGACCTGCTCTAGCAAATAATTGAACCTAAGGAGGGTTGGGGCCTCCCCAGTTTATAGCCAGTTGGTTAGAAGCGCAAGAAGAACCTGAGGCTTGCTATTGCCATCAGAAGTGAGGGGCAGTCTTGTGGAACGAAGCACTCACCCTGTGAGATCTGATGCTATCTCCAGATAGATAGTATCAGGATTGAACTGGAGGACAGCCAGCTGGTGTTCGCTGCAGAATTGATTGTGTGCTTGTTAGTGGGGAGAAATCCCCACACGTTTGGCTGTAAAAGTCTTCTGTGTTGATTATCGTGGTGTGAAAGCAGAGGAAAAGGAGTCAGTGTTTTTTCCACTCTCAGAAATAGCATCGGTATATTTTAAAAGTTCCCTGAGTGATTATAATTTGCAGCTGGGGAAGTAATCACTCTGATACTACATCCTACAAAGTGCTGGGAAGTGGTGTTTTCATTCTGTGCCATATATTCTTAGCTACGAAAGGAGACGGGCTAGTTTAAATTCTAATGTATTTTTTCTTTAGTATTTGTAAGCATTGGCCAGTTGTCTCAGTCTCTTACGAAAGTGTTTTTTCAGGCAGCTTGTATTGCCTGCTGGGATTGGGGAAGTCCTCGGTTAGTTTGGAATTTTCCATGACTCTTAGCTCTGCACCATTAGCGTCGACTTCAGTCACAGAGCTCTTGAGTGTATCTGCCTGTGCTGTTCTCCTCCTCCTTTTTTTGTAATGTCAGGTGGATGTTAAACCTCAACTACAAGTCTTGGTATTATGTTTGTGTTTAATACCCTAGTTCTGAGTATGGATCAGAGAATCTCATCTGAATGAACTTTTTGTTTATTAAGTGAGTGAGCTTGAGCTATTTTGGCCTGGTTTCCTCAGGTGTCATGTTTCCTGTCACAAAATCACCTTTTGTTTCTGTAGGCACAAACTTCTGATGCAGTGCTGGCTCATTCTCCAGCGATCTCTCCATTGGTGATCAGAATCAGTCTTTTGATCCTTTGATTGGAAAAGCTCTAAAAATGACAGCAAATGGGAGAAAAGAGATCCACCCAGATAATGACCTAGTTGAGGTTTGGCTCGTTCCCCTCTTATAGGGAAATTTAAAGTCCTGAAAGTTTAAAAGGAGACTGCTATAGTGATGTATCTACTTTTCCTTAGAAAGCGATTCCTGGTCAAGCACGGTGGCTCACGCCTGTAATCCCAGCACTTTGGGAGACAAAGGCAGGTAGATCACGAGGTCAGGAGTTTAAGACCAGCTTGGCCAACATAGTGAAACCTTGTCTCTACAAAAATACAAAAATTAGCCAGGCATGGTGGCCCAGCTGCTCCGGAGGCTGAGGCAGGAGAATTACTTGAACCCAGGAAGTAGAGGTTGTAGTGAGCCAAGATTGCACCACTGCACTCCAGCCTGGGCAACAGAGTGAGACTCCATTTCAGAACAAAGTAAGAGAGAGAAGTGGGGAGGGATGGAAGAAGGGAGGGAAGGAAGGAAAAGAAACAAAAAGAAAGAAACTGATTCCCTAGATTCCATGCAGAAAGGATAGCAGTATGGGCCAGGTACGGTGGCTCACGCCTGTAATCCCAGCACTTTGGGAGGCCAAGGCGGGTGGATCACCCGAGGTCAGGAGTTCAAGACCAGCCTGGCCAAGATGGTGAAACCCCATCTCGACTAAAAATACAAAAATTAGCCAGTCATGGTGACAGGCATCTGTAATCCCAGCTACTCAGGAGGCTGAGGCAGGAGAATCGGTTGACCCTGGGAGGCGGAAGTTGCAGTGAACTGAGATTATGCCACTGCACTTCAGCCCGGGTGACAAAGTGAGACTCCATCTCGAGGAAAAAAAAAAAGAAAGGAATGCAGTATGTTACTAAATTTCACTTTCCCAGATCAGTAGTTGGAGGTTGGTTGGGTTTGTTTACCTTAACCCTGCCCTTCTCCCCCAACCACTGCCCGCCAGTGAGAGAAGTTCAAATTCATACACAGTAGACCTTTGAATAAGTGGATGTTAGAGGTTCCGATCCCCTGCACAGTTGAAAATCCATTTATAACTTTTAAATACTCCCAGATTTAACTACTAGTAGCCTGCTATTGATCAGGGGCTTTACCAATAACATAAACAGTTACTTAACACATAGTTTTTATATGTATTATATTCTGTGTTCCTATAATAAAGGAAGGTAGAGAAAAGAAAATGTTAAGAAAATCATAAGGAAGAGAAAATATATTTACTATTAAGTGGAAGTGGATCATCATAAAGGTCTTCATCCTTGTTGTCTTCATACTGAGTAGGCTGAGGAGGAGGAAGAAGAGGGGTTGGTCCTGCTGTCTTACCTGTGGTAGAGGCAGAAGAAGGGGTGGAGGAGGTGGAAGGGGAGGTAGAAGCAGGAGAGGTGGGCATATAAGCAGACCCAGGCATCCAAGTCAATCTGCATGGTTCAAACCTATGTTGTTTCAGGGTCAACTGTATTTGAGTAGGAAGTAAAGGCAGTGTGTATTCTGCATCATTCCCCCATCTGCTCAAGTGTTACCTCCTTCCCTGACCACCCTGTGAAAGTAATGCCCTCACAATTCTCTATTCCTTCTCCCTGCTTGATTTCCTCCGTAACAGTTATCACCTGACATTATATTATGTAAGCTCTGTGAGGATAGGGACATTTCATTTTTCTTCACTGTATTTCTGAGGCCTGGAACCTAGTAGGTGCTCATTAAATATTCCTTTAGTAAGTGAAGAATGGTTTGAATAGCCAGATATTTGCATATTGTCTTTTTGTTCTTTGCTTTTGTCTGAGCTCAAACCTTATTTGGCATATGAATTACCATATCGTATATAAGACCCTTTATGTAGAACTTTGTAATATAAGAAAATTTAAAGATAAACCTATGCTATTTTTCTTTTCCATTTTTAGAGACAGGGTTTAACTCTGTCACAGGCTGGAGTACAGTGATATAGCACTGCAGCCTTGAACTCCCAGTCTCAAGGGATCCTCTTACCTTAGCCTCCTAAGTAGCTGTGACTGCAGGTGCAAGTCAGCAAACCTGGCTTATTTTTAAAATTTTTTTGTAGAGACAGGTTCTTACTGTGTTGCCCAGGCTGGTCATAAACCCCTGGCTTCAACTGATCCTCATCCTTTCGAAGTGCTGGGATTAAAGACATGAGCCACTGCATCCAACCTATTTTTCACTTTTAACCCTGAAGTAAGATATGATACCATTGTACTTACTTTATAGTTAGTCTGTAATACAGAGCAATACCTTGTTATTTAGACTCTGAAGTAAACTGGGGACAAGGTAAATGCCCATTTTGTTAAGTTCCACAATAGGATGTGTTACATATTTTAGTGGCGATGGGGACTAGAGAAGGGGATCTTACATGTTATAGTCTACTTGGAAGATGATAAGCTGAAATCAAACCTTTCCTTTATCAGTAAAAATGAATGTGTCATATAAGTTGTGGGTCTTAAGATTTGGAGAATGGATAAAATAAGACCTATTTTTCCTGAGGCTGGACGTTATGATGATGATAAATTGAGATTAGGTGAAAATACTTTGAAGCGAAGATATGAATTCAGGAAATCTTGGATATTTGGAAAGATAATCAGGTAATGAGAGAAAAGACAGAAACATACTGTGATGAAGCCTCACTGCCTTGTGATATGTCTCAAGATGAAGGCAGGCTACGTCCTGGGAAACGTTTTGTTATCAGACATGCTGCTGTTAGCACAAGGCATGTGGAAGGTTTGGTATGAATGGAATAGATTTAAGTTTCGCTAGTACACTTTTTCCATGCTAATTAAAAATGGTCATGTTCCAACATGATTTCACCACTTTATTGTTGTTCCTCTCCCATCCTTCTTTTAGTTGGCTAATTGCAATTCTGGCCCAACTCAACCCTCTCTTTGGACCACAGTTGAAAAACGAAACCATCTGGTATCTGAAGCATCATTGGCCTTGAGGAGGAAGACATGTTCTACAGCGCTCAGTCTTTGAGGTGACTATGTTTGTGACCTTTCCCATCAGTATGGTCAGGAAGTCAGAGTTTGCTGTGACTTTTTCTATGCATTTTATGGCCGTTTTAACACATGACAAGGGCAGGCTGCTGAATGCAAACACGATCGGAAGAGCAGAAATAAATTTGGTACTTAAGCCATTCACCTTACCTAAGTCTCAGTAAGATTCTCTTTAGATTCTGCTATTACCCTGCCTTTTTAAGTAAATACAGCTTGATTTATAAAATTAAGCTTGCATGTACGTTTTCAGACACAGATCAAAAAAGTAACTGCTTAGGGCCGGACGCAGTGGCTCGTGCCTGTAATCCTAGCACTTTGGGAGGCCAAGGTGGGTGGATCACCTGAGGTCAGGAGTTCAAGACCAGCCTGGCCATCATGGTGAAACCCCATCTTAAAAAAAAAAAAAAAAGTAACTGTTTATACTTAGCATTGTGAGATCCAGCAACTTTAAAAAGTGGCTGGCAGATTTAAAATTGAGCAGGTTTCTTTCCAGCAGTAGTCAGCTGTCCGGACAGAACCGTTCCTGTGATGGTGTTACACTGCTGGGAGAGGAATGTCTTGTCTTCATCCGGTTGCCTCCGCCACTGTTCTGGTGGCGTCTGGCACTGGCGCAAGACAGAGCTGTGCTTCCCTGAGAGTGTGCTAAGCATTCACTTTGGCTGCTTAGTTCTAGTCTGGGAGCAGACAGAAAAAAAAAATTAAGAAGGTTTCTGAATGCTTTGGTTGAAGAAAGGTGCCTGTGTTAGTTTGTTTTGTGTTGCTATAAAGGACTACATAAGACTTGGTAATTTATAATTTATACATAAACATGACACCTGCATCTGTTTGGCTTCTGGTGAGGCCTCAGGAGGGTTTTACTCACGGCAGAAAGCAAAAGGGGAACAGGCATGTCATATGGTGAGAGAAGGACCAAGAGAGAAAGGAGAAGGTGCCAGGCTCCTTTAAACAAGCAGCTCTTGTGTGCATTAACAACTACTTCACTCATTACTGTGGGGAGATGTATTAGTCCTTTTTCATGCTGTTGATAAAGACATACCCGAGACTGGATAATTTATAAAGAAAGAGAGGTTTAATGGACTTACAGTTCCTTGTGGCTAGGGAGGCCTCACTATCATGGTGGAACATGAAAGGCACTTCTTATCAGAACCAAGCAAAAGGGGTCTCCCCTTATAAAACCATCAGATCTCATGAGATTTACTACCATGAGAATATGGTAGGATTTACTACCATGAGAATATGGTAGATTTACTACCATGAGGATATTGGGGAACCGCCCCCATGATTCACTTATCTCCCACGTCCCTCCCAAAACACATGGGAATTATGGGAGCTATAATTCAAGATGAGATTTGGGTAGGGTCACAACCAAACCATATCAAGAGGGTACCAAGCCATCCATGAGGGATCCACCCCCATGACCCAAATACCTCCCACTAGGCCTCACCTCCATCATTGGGGATCACATTTCAACATGAGATTTGGAGGGGACAAATAATCCAAACAATATCAGTGCCTTATTTATTTATTTATTTATTTATTTATTTATTTATTTATTTTTGCGGCGGGGGCACGGAGACGAAGTCTTGCTCTGTCACCCAGGCTGGAGTGCAGTGGTGGTGTCTCAGCTCACTGCAACCTCCGCCTCCCGGGTTCAAGCAGTTCTCCTGCCTCAGCCTTCTGAGTAGTTGGGACTACAGGCGCATGCCACCCAGCTAACTTTTTGCGTTTTTAGTAGATACAGGGTTTCACGTGTTAGCCAGGATGGTCTCGGTCTCCTGATCTTGTGATCCCCCCGCCTCAACCTCCCAAAGTGCTGGAATTACAGGCGTGAGCCACTATACCTGGCTCATCAGTGCCTTTTGAAAATCAGTTATAGCTTCTATTTTGTTCTAAGGGTCAGAGAGGTTAGGAGTGGTATAGTGGAAAGATTTATTCACTGGCTGAGAGTCAGGAAACCTCTTATTTAATTTGTTGTGTTGTTTTCATTATTTTGTTAAGTGGAGGTTAGCTTTAAATGCCTTGACTAGATTTGGGCGCAACTTTTTTAGCTTTTTCGGTGTTACTGTAAACTGTGTATTGCCTCCCATCAGGAGAAACAGGATGTCTGACACTCCTATCTTGAGTAATGCTAATGTGATCACTGGGTTCAGGTCAGGTTCCTTCAATTGTAAAGTTCTTTTTTGTCAAGTGATTTTATCCATGGATGATCATAGCCTGAATTAATCATTTTAGTTGAAATGATGGCAAATGGTGATTTGCTGCTTTTTTTTTTTTTTTTTTTTTTTTTTTAATTGAGAGCGGATCTCACTCTTGTCACTTAGGCTGGAGTACAGTGGCACAATCACAACTGACTGCAGTCTTGACCTCCCTGGGTTAAGCATCCTCCTGCTTCAGCCTCCCGAGTAGCTGGAATTATAGTCATTTGCCACCATACCTTAATTTTTTGGTTTTTGAGACAGGGTCCCCCTCTGTCACTCAGCTGGAATGCAGTAGCACCATCATGACTCACTGCAGCCTTGCACTCCTGCTCAAGTGATCCTCCTGCCTCAGTCCCCTGAGTAGCTGGGACTTCAGGCATGCACCTCCATGCCTGGCTAAATTTTAAATTTTTAGTAGAGACAAGGTCTTGCTATGTGGCCCGTGTTTTGGCTAATTTTTAAAATTTTATTTATTTTTTTATAGAGATAGGGTCTCTTTCTGTGGCCCAGGCTGGAGTGCAGTGGTGTGATCATGGCTCACCACTACTTGAATTCCTGGGCTCCAGGGATCCTTCCGCCTTAGCTATCCAAACAGCTACAGGCATGCAGTGCCACATGTGACTAATTTTTTTTTCATTTTTGTAGAAACCAGGTCTCACCATCTTGCCTAAACTGGTCTCAAACTCCTGGGCTCAAGTAGTCCTCCTACTCTCCAGAGTGTTGGGATTATAGCCATGACCCACCATGCCCAGCCACAAATGGTGATTTTCCAGGTCTATCTTTATTTATTTATTTACTTCCAGCCAGAGTCTTGCTCTGTCGCCTAGTCTAAAGAGCAGTGGCACGATCTTGACTCACTATAACCTCCGCCTCCCGAGTTCAAGGGATTCTTCTGCCTCAGCATCCCAAGTAGCTGGGACTGCAGGCATGTGCCACCTGTAGTGGCTAATTTTTGGGTATTTTTAGTAGAGATGTGTTTTTACCATGTTGGCCAGGCTGGTCTTGAACACCTGACCTGAGGTGATCCATCTGCCTATGCCTCCCAAAATTCTGGACTTATAGGTATGAGCCACCACGCCCACCCAATTTCTCAGTTGTATTATTACCTATGTGTTCAATGAATTGAAATGCTTCTATAAAGATTTCCTGCTGGGCACAGTGGCTTATACCTGTAATCCCAGTACTTTGAGAGGCTGAGACAGGCAGATTACTTGAGCCCAGGAGTTCAAGACCAGCCTGGGCAATGTGGTGAATCCTTGTCTCTACAAAAAATACAAAAATTAGCCAGGCAAGGTGGCGCACACCTGGAGTCCCAGCTGTTCAGGAGGCTGAGGTGGGAGGATTGCTTGAGCCAGGGAGGTGGAGGCTATAGTGGGCCAAGATGGTACCACTGCACTCCAGCGTAGGCGACAGAACAAGACTGTGTCTCAAAAAACAAACAAAAAGCTTTTCCTCATCAACAAATTATTTAGTAGCCTTGAAATACAGATCATAGGGCTGGGCGCAGTGGCTCATGCCTGTAATCCCAGCACTTTGGGATGCTGAGGTGGGTGGATCACAAGGTCAGGAGTTCGAGACCAGCCTGACCAACATGGTGAAACCCTGTCTCTACTAAAAATACAAAAATTAGACAGGCATGGTGGCACGTGCCTGTAATCCCAGCTACTCAGGAGGCTGAGGCAGGAGAATTGCTTGAACCTAGGAGGTGGAGGTTGCGGTGAGCTGAGATGGCGCCATTGCAATCCAGCCTGGGCAACAGAGCAAGATTCCATCTCAAAAATAAAATAAAAATAGGCCAGCACGGTGGCTCACGCCTGTAATCCCAGCACTTTGGGAAGCCGAGGCGGGTGGATCATGAGGTCGAGAGATCGAGACCATCCTGGTCAACATGGTGAAACCCCATCTCTACTAAAAATACAAAAATGAGCTGGGCATGGTGGCACACGCCTGTAGTCCCAGCTACTCGGGAGGCTGATGCAGAAGAATTGCTTGAACCCGGGAGGTGGAGGTTGCAGTGAGCCGAGATCGCGCCACTGCACTCCAGCCTGGCACCTGGCGATGGTGCGAGACTCTGTCTCAAAATAAAAATAAAAATAAAAATAAAATAAAATGAAATAAATAAATAAATATAGATCATAAAGAAATACAGGAAATGTAGAATAAAGGTTTAATTCTTTTAATTTTCATAGTAAGATGTTGGTGGCCAAGTTACTTCCAGGGTATTCAATGAGATTTTTTTTTTAATTTTAAATAATTACATTTTTTACCTTTTTTATCCTTTTTATGTTATTTTGGTCTGTTTGTTTGCTTGTTTGCCCATGAGAGCCTGTTTAGGCTGGCTTCTATGTCCTTTTAAAGTTAGTTTTTGGTAGTTTCCTCACTTTCTGACAACATCAAGATGTCCAAGCCCGTCTTGTATATATTCTGTCCCAGACTTAGATTTAGCTGTTCCTTCAATTGCTTTCTAAATTTCCCACTAAAAGGATGTCTGGTTTACTAGTCAGTTCTCAGGCCTACTTGACCCTAGTTCTGTTCAGTGGAAATGGTGTTTAAAAATCACGATCTGAGTGCTAGGTGTGTTTGTTTCTGCTGGGGTATAATTGCTTCTAAGACTTTTCAGTGGAAAGAACCAGGAAGTATGTATTTTTCAGAAGAAAAATAATCATAAGTTTACATTAGTATTTTCTCTTCAAATATAACATTATAGAGTTTTTATTTATTTGATTTTATATTTGTGTATGTACTGAAAATCC